GAGGGAGGGAGAGAGAGACAGAGAGAGACAGAGGGAGAGAGAGAAACATTGATCGGCTCATTGGCTGCCTTACTTTGCATAATATTGCATGGGTAATATTGCATAGGAGTATCAGAAACTGCCTCATTGGAAACAAGAACTATTTAGATAAAAACCCGGGTGTAGGCTGCATCTGCACATGCACAGCATGATGAAGCACACTGAGAGCAACCATGGGGACAGCTTCTGGCACTCACACCACAGGGATACATCTGCCACATGGACAGGAAAGCCAGGGTGAAGGAGGGAGTGAGGGGGAAGAGAGGAGTGTGGCTCAGTTCTGGTTCTGGAACTGATTGGCCAGCCAGTCCAGTCCCTCATAGAGGCCAGCCCCAGTGATGGCAGAGGTGGCCTGAAGGTACCAGTTCCTGTGGTGCAGAGAGTTCAGGCCCAGCTTGTCTGTGATCTCAGCTGTGCTCATGGCATTGGAGAGGTCCTGCTTGTTTGCAAACACTAGCAGGACAATATCAGTGAACTCCACCACCATCTGCATGAGCGCCTCTCTGGCCTCGTCCATGCGTTCTTGGTCAGTGCTGTCAACCACAAAGATGAGCCCTTGTCCATTTGGGCAGCAGTGGCGCCACAGAGGCCGGATCTTGTCCTGGCTGTTCGCATCCCACACAATAAAGCTGATGTTCTTATACTTCACAGTCTCCACGTTGAAACCTATCGTGGGAATGGTGGTCAAGATCTCACCCAACTTCAGTTTGTACAGGATAGTGGTCTTCCCAACACCGTCCAAGCCCACCATGAGAATGCACATTTCTTTTTTGCCAAAAAGGCCCTTGAAGAGGTTCGCAAAGATATTTCCCATGCTGTAGACTAGAGGAAGAGACTCTGGTCAGAGAAACCCTTGGCAGTCACGGTGCTGCTGCTGCTGCTGCTACTGCTGCTCTGAGCCAGGATCTGGTTCTATTTTGTCACTCTTTAGCAGATATTTGCTGACCCTTATTCTAATTCTTTTCATTGCTGTGACACTTGCTCTGTCACTACCCATTAACTATTTAAAGTTCAAAGTCCAGAGCAAGTGACTGGTGCAGTTTCAACTGGTCTAGATTAGATGATTCGTCACCATCATCCTGGTTCAACAGAATTGTTTTACTAGACACTCCTCGGGGTGGCACTTGGCTAGGATGATGAGCCAGGGCGCAAGGCACCTATCTATAAGGAGTCATTGCGGATCACTTCAGGGACCACTTCAAGAAGTTTGGCTAGCGCAGTACTTTGCACAACCTATCTCCCAGGCACAGAGCCTTCTTTTTGTCCCTGCAATTCTAGGAATCCAAGGGAAGTGAGAAGGACTGTGGGAACTCTGGGAATCTCTGGCTTTTCTTGGAAAGTTGGATTTCTCTCCACACTGCCCCGTCATCCCTGATGAAGCAACAATTGACTGGAACAATTTAAAGAGGTCTGTGCTCATCCAGCTCATTTCACTCTTTACTTACCTGACTCTCTAGGCAAATCAGCTTGAAACTCCTCCAGAGATTGGAGGCAGTGAGACAAATGGCAATCACTTAGCAGTGAGACACCTGAAGCCGCAGGCTAAGATATTCAGAGGAAATGGGATGGTGCACATGGGAATACAATCCTGAGTCTTGGTGACTGACAACATGAGTCTAGTGGAGATAGGCTAGAAGTATAAAGGTGAGGTGTAAGAAGAAGGCAGAATAAAAGAGATGGGTCCCAGACTTTCACTCTGGATCATTTGGAGAGAAATGACAGGAATATGAAAATCCAAAAGGGGCAATTTAAAAAGAAACTTTATTTCCATGGTTTAGTAAAGTTTTATTTTTGATGTTCTTTTTTAAATTAAATCTTTATTGTTCAGATTATTACATTTGTTCCTCTTTTTCCCCCCCATAACTCCCCTCCTCCCAGTTCCCGCCCCACCCTCCGCCCTCACTCCCCACCCGCTGTCCTCATCCATAGGTGCACAAGTTTTGTCCAGTCTCTTCCCGAATCTCCCACACCCCTTTCCCCCCCAAGAATAGTCAGTCTGTTCCCTTTTTATGTCCCTGATTCTATTATAATCACCAGTTTATTCTGTTCATCAGATTATTTATTCACTTGTTGATAGATGCATATTTGTTGTTCACAATTTGTATCTTTACCTTTCTCTTCTTCTTCCTCTTCTTAAAGGATACCTTTCAGCATTTCATATAATACTGGTTTGATGGTAATGAACTCCTTTAGCTTTTTCTTATCTGTGAAGCTCTTTATCTGACCTTCAATTCTGAATGATAGCTTTGCTGGATAAAGTAATCTTGGTTGTAGGTTCTTGGCATTCATCACTTTGAATATTTCTTGCCACTTCCTTCTGGCCTGCAAAGTTTCTGTTGAGAAATCAGCTGACAGTCGTATGGGTACTCCCTTGTAGGTAACTGAGTTTCTTTCTCTTGCTGTTTTTAAGATTCTCTCTTTCTCTTTTGCTCTTGGCATTTTAATTATGATGTGTTTTGGTGTGGTCCTCTTTGGATTCCTTTTGTTTGGGGTTCTCTGAGCTTCTTGGACCTGTAAGTCTATTTCTTTCACCAGGTGGGGGAAGTTTTCTGTCATTATTTCTTCAAATAGGTTTTCAATGTCTTGCTCTCTCTCATCTTCTGGCACCCCTATAATTCTGATGTTGGTACGCTTGAAGCTGTCCCAGAGGCTCCTTACACTATCTTCGTATTTTTGGATTCTTTTTTCATTTTGCTTTTCCGATTAGGTGTTTTTTGCTTCTTCGCATTTCAAATCTTTGACTTGATTCTTGGGCTCCTCTGGTCTGCTGTTGGGAGTCTGTATAATATACTTTATTTTCAGTCAGTGTATGCTTAATTTCTAGTTGGTTCTTTATCACAACATCGAGGGTCTCATTAGATTTCTTGAGGATCTCACTACATTTATCGGCAGTTTTTAGAAAATTATTGAAAGACCTTAAAAGTGTGGTTTTGAGGTCTATATCTTCCATTTCTGACATTTGCCTCCTGTTTCTTTGTCTCCGCATTTTTTTCTGTTTTCTTGGTGCATCCCCTAGTGGTCTTTGTGCGCAGTCTTGTTGTAGTTAAGCCTTGATTGTTGTAGGTAATACTAGAGGGGATTTGAGCTCAGGCCAAGTGGCTGTGAGAATCAGCTGTGTCTGCAGTGAGAGAACTTCTGTCCTCTAGGGAGGTGCTAATCTAGCCTTTGCCTGAGGCTATCCGGCAAATGGCTCTGTGCAGGGCCTGGGCAGGGCGTGTCCCGGGGGGAGCGAGCAGTTATGGCTGCTCTCAGTCCCGTCCCGGGGGCTCTGCCTCTCAGAGTCCCAGCAACCGCTGCAAACCTCGGAGAGAAAGCTGCCTTCGAGTTCCAACCAAAGCCAGACAGTTCCGTTTGAGTCTGGGTCCCTAGAGACTCGCCCGGATCTGGAGCTCAGAATCTGAGACTCCCTCCCGATTGAAACAGACAACTGCTCCCTCAGCCGCCAGCCCGCTCCGCGCACCTCCGCACCTTAGTATTTGACTTCAGCACTGCGCCTCCTCTGAGTCTCGGTATGTTATTCTCTTTCCTCCTAGTTGTAGAACTTCCACTCAGCGAGCCTTCCTGTGGTTCTGGATGATGTCCGTTCTGTCTTTTCGTTGTATTTTTGAAGTGGTTGTACGAGGCCGCAAACTCCAGCATTAACCTATCCCGCCATCTTGGTTCCTCTTGATGTTCTTAATTTTAAAGCCAAATTAATTGCAAGTTTTGTTTGTCTCTCAAAAACAAAAGAACCCCCAAATAATTAAGTTGTTTTTTTACTTGCTTATGAGCCCCGATAGAAAAATGTTCTTACTCGTTCAGTATAAAAACATGGACATTTGTTTACCTCCATGGAAATCACTGCCTCCAATCAATCTGTTTACCTTCGGTTATTTCATTTGACAATTTCAGAAAATAAGACAAATTACTTGCAAGGAATTTAAAGAAAATGCATTGAAACATACCATGTCAAATCTTTATTTTCAGATCCCAGAATAGTCAATTTAATCCTGTCCTTCTAGTCAGCTAAAATCCCATGAGAAAGACAGCTCCGTTCGTTTTCAGAAAATACTGCAGTGCTCCAATTTTAAAAATATGTGTTTTCATTGATTTTTGGAGAGAGAAAGAGAAACATGGATTGGCTGATTGGCTGCCTCTGTTGCATAATGCATGTGAGTACCAGAAACAAGAACTATTTAGATAAAACCCCGGGTGTAGGCTGCATCTGCACATGCACAGCATGATGATGCACACTGAGAGCAACCATGGGGACAGCTTCTGGCACTCACACCACAGGGATACATCTGCCACATGGACAGGAAAGCGAGGGTGAGGGAGGGAGTGAGGGGGAAGAGAGGAGTGTGGCTCAGTTCTGGTTCTGGAACTGATTGGCCAGCCAGTCCAGCCCCTCATAGAGCCCAGCCCCAGTGATGGCAGAGGTGGCCTGAAGGTACCAGTTCCTGTGGTGCAGAGAGTGCAGGCCCAGCTTGTCTGTGATCTCAGCTGTGCTCATGGCATTGGGGAGGTCCTGTTTGTTTGCAAGCACTAGCAGGACAACATCCTTGAGCTCTGTGATCATCCGCATCATCTCCTGTCTGGCCTCGTCCATGCGTTCCTGGTCAGTGCTGTCAACCACAAAGATGAGGCCATGTCTGCCTGGGCAGTATTGGCTCCAAAAAACCCGGCTCTTGTCCTGGCTGTGTATGTCCCACACGACGAAGCTGATGTTCTTATACTCCACAGTCTCCAGGTTGAAACCTATCGTGGGAACTGTTTCCACCACCTCATTCAGCTTCAGTTTGTACAGGATGGTGGTCTTCCCCGCAGCGTCCAGGCCCACCATGAGAATGCGCATTTCTTTTTTGCCAAAAAGGCCCTTGAAGAGATTTGCAAAGATATTTCCCATGCTGTAGACCAGAGGGAGAGACAATGGCCAGAGAAACCCTTGGCAGCCACGGTGCTGCTGCTCTTCTGAGCCAGGAGCTGGTTCTATTTTGTCACTCTTTAGCAGGTATTTGTTGACCCTTATTCTAATTCTTTTCATTGCTGTGACACTTGCACTGTCACTACCCATTAACTCACTATTTAAAGTCCAAAGTCCAGGGCGCCCGTGGGAGGCTCGCGCCCTTCCTCATGGTGGCTACCACCGCGCGCTGGGAGGGGGGAACGCCCGTCCGCACCACCTGGCGCGCCGGGGAGGAGCCGCTGTGCACCTGGGGACGGGCCGGTCCTACCACCGCGGGCGAGGGCGGGCGCCCCGCTGACCCGGCTCCCGGCGGAGGTTGAGGAGGAGCCGGCCCACGGTCCTCAGTGCTGGCGAGGAGGGAAGCCCGCTGACCGGCTTGGGAGGGAAGTCAGAGGTCACGCCGTAGTGACTCTGGTGTTACCATAGTAACCGGGGCCGGATGTGGCGACCTTCAGGTGTGACAGCCCTGGGGCCGAGCGGAGCGCGAGAGCCCGCGGCCGCGCCGAGGAGCGGTGGGCGTCCTGCGGGGAGGAGGCCGGGCCTTCGCGAGCGCAGTGGGGACGGCGGCGAGGGGAGGGTGACCTGAGAAACCGTACAAAGGCTCTCGCGGCCTCCCGGAAACTCCACGGGGCGCCTCTGCCCCCCCCCTCCCCCCGCCGCCGCCGCCGCCGCCCCGGAAGCGGAAACGTAAGTCCGCGCTCCCGGCCCCTCCCCCTCCTCCTCCCGCTGCCACGTTGCAGAACAGAAGAAGCTGACTCAGCTGCAGCCGCCGCCCCAGGACCTCCCAGCCTTCTGGGCCCTTCCCCTCCTGGCCAATGGAAAGCCTGGGGACCCCAAGTCAGCTCTTCGCAAAGGTCCCCCAGGATCAAGGGGACTGATGATTCCGCCACTGCGGAGTCTCCCACCTGCTCCCCGGAGCAGATGCCCAGTGTGGGGAGGCTTCGGCCCCAGGTCTCGCCCATATGGTCGCGGTTGGGAGTGGGGTGGGGGTGGGGGTCAGTTCTGACCCTCCTTTTCCTGGGCCAGACCAACGTAGTCCCCCCAGGGGAGGCTTTCACGAAGAACAGAGACATCCTCGAAGGCTCAAGAGCTGGCCGCTTGTCAAGAAGACCTGCCCCCTGGAGGATGAACCCCAGGTTATGGAAGACAAATCTAACCGCCCGGTCTGCCGACACTTTGCCAAAAAAGGGCGCTGTCGATATGAGGACCTCTGTGCCTTCTACCACCCAGGCGTCAACGGACCTCCTCTGTGAGCCTGCCTTCCCGGCCGAGCTGGAGGGAGCCCTGGAGACCCAGCGGCCATGCATTTCCCACCGCCCTCCGTCCCCTCCCCCATTTGGGGTTCAGAGCTGTGTTTCATCACTGGGGGGAGGTGGGCGCTCTTTCTGCGGATCCAGCCTCCAGAGCCTCGCCTTCAGGCCCCCATCTCGGCTGCCTCCTGGGTCCTCTCCCCTCGCCACTGACTGCGGAGCAGGAGACGCTCCGGGTGCTGCCTCTTGTGCGTCTGTCCAGCAGCCCGCTGCTGCCCTCGAGTCCGGAGCCTGGAGCGGCTTCCTCCCACCCCTCTGGCCGCTTGTCTCAGGTCCCCCATGTGCGCACCCTGCCCCCTGTGTTGGCAGCTGCTCCGAGGAACTCCCAGGCTGTCTGGCCAGGGGTCAAGTTCGGATCACGGCCAGTCCCTCCTGAAAGGCCGCTCGCCTGCTCTTGGATCCCGTAGCTTCGCCATCAGTCGCGTGGCTGTGATCGCTGCGCTTGGTGAACGCGCACCCCCGTAGCCTTTCTCAGTGTCCGTGGCCTGTCTGTGGCTTCTCCACACTAGAGTTTCTGCCAAAACCAGTGAGGCTCTTGGTGCCTCTCTGCTCCCCCCACCCCAACAGGGAGCACCGGGAACTTCCCACGAGGCTGCCTCCCTGGCCCCCGTTCTTCTGGGGTCCCTTTTTCTGGGTCTGACCCGGGCCCAGGAGGTGTGCTCTAAGCCTCTGGTGGGCCCACCCTCTTCCTCCGCGGCCGTGCTCCTTAGCCCAGTCCCTGGGAGGCCACAGGCCTTCCCTGTGAATTCTGTGCATCTCCACCTGGACAGCCCTGCCGCCCTCTCCCCCCCTCCGTCGCTGCTGCTGGTTGTTTTCTGTGAAAACGGCAATGAGCCGACTCAGTCTTGAACTGGCCCTGAGGACCGGTCAGGAGTTGTGTGGACAAGAGGGAGGGTGAGAGCCGCTGGAGAACTGAAAATGAATTTTGTTTCTTTTTAACATTTTTTACATTAGTAATAAATGCAGTGGAAACAAACAAACAAAAGAGTTCAAAGTCCAGAGAGAGCAAGTGACTGGTGCAGTTTTAATTGGTCTAGATTAGATGATTCGTCACCATCATCCTGGTTCCACAACTGTTTTACTAGACACTCCTCTGGGTGGCACTTGGCTAGGATGATGAGCCAGGGCCCAAGGCACCTATCTATAAGGAGTCATTGCGGATCACTTCAGGGACCACTTCAAGAAGTTTGGCCAGCGCAGTACCTTGCACAACCTATCTCCCAGGCACAGAGCCTTCTTTTTGTCCCTGCAATTCTAGGAATCCAAGGGAAGTGAGAAGGACTGTGGGAACTCTGGGAATCTGGCTTTTCTTGGAAAGTTGGATTTCTCTCCACACTGCCCCGTCATCCCTGATGAAGCAACAATTGACTGGAGCTGAGTAGAGACTTTTAAAGAGGTCTGTGCTCATCCAGCTCATTTCACTCTTTACTTACCTGACTCTCTAGGCAAATCAGCTTGAAACTCCTCCAGAGATTGGAGGCAGTGAGACAAATGGCAATCACTTAGCAGTGAGACACCTGAAGCCGCAGGCTAAGATATTCAGAGGAAATGGGATGGTGCACATGGGAATACAATCCTGAGTCTTGGTGACTGACAACATGAGTCTAGTGGAGATAGGCTAGAAGTATAAAGGTGAGGTGTAAGAAGAAGGCAGAATAAAAAGAGATGGGTCCCAGACTTTCACTCTGGTTCATTTGGAGAGAAATGACAGGAATATGAAAATCCAAAAGGGGCAATTTAAAAAGAAAATTTATTTCCATGGTTTAGTAAAGTTTTATTTTTGATGTTCCTAATTTTAAAGCCAAATTAATTGCAAGTTTTGTTTGTCTCTCAAAAACAAAAGAACCCCCAAATAATTAAGTTGTTTTTTACTTGCTTATGAACCCCGATAGAAAAATGTTCTTACTCTTGTTCAGTATAAAAACATGGACATTTGTTTACCTCCATGGAAATCACTGCCTCCAATCAATCTGTTTACCTTCGGTTATTTCATTTGACAATTTCAGAAAATAAGACAAATTACTTGCAAGGAATTTAAAGAAAATGCATTGAAACATATCATGTCAAATCTTTATTTTCAGATCCCAGAATAGTCAATTTAATCCTGTCCTTCTAGTCAGCTAAAATCCCATGAGAAAGACAGCTCAGCTCATTTTTAGAAAATACTGCAGTGCTCCAATTTTTAAAATATGTGTTTTCATTGATTTTTTGGAGAGAGAAAGAGAAACATGGATTGGCTGATTGGCTGCCTCTGTTGCATAATGCATGTGAGTACCAGAAACAAGAATTATTTAGATAAAAACCTGGGTGTAGGCTGCATCTGCACATGCACAGCATGATGAAGCACACTGGGACCAACCATGGGGACAGCTTCTGGCACTCACACCACAGGGATACATCTGCCACATGGACAGGAAAGTGAGGGTGAAGGAGGGAGTGAGGGGGAAGAGAGGAGTGTGGCTCAGTTCTGGTTCTGGAACTGATTGGCCAGCCAGTCCAGTCCCTCATAGAGGCCAGCCCCAGTGATGGCAGAGGTGGCCTGAAGGTACCAGTTCCTGTGGTGCAGAGAGTGCAGGCCCAGCTTGTCTGTGATCTCAGCTGTGCTCATGGCATTGGGGAGGTCCTGTTTGTTTGCAAGCACTAGCAGGACAACATCCTTGAGCTCTGTGATCATCCGCATCATCTCCTGTCTGGCCTCGTCCATGCGTTCCTGGTCAGTGCTGTCCACCACAAAGATGAGGCCATGTCTGCCTGGGCAGTTTTGGCTCCAAAAAACCCGCATCTTGTCCTGGCTGTTTACGTCCCACAAGACGAAGCTGATGTTCTTATATTCCACAATCTCCACGTAGAAACCTATCGTGGGCGTGGTGGTCACGACCTCATTCAGCTTCAGTTTGTACAGGATGGTGGTCTTCCCAGCACGGTCCAGGCCCACCATGAGAATGCGCATTTCTTTTTTGCCAAAAAGGCCCTTAAAGAGGTTCGCAAAGATATTTCCCATGCTGTAGACCAGAGGGAGAGACAATGGCCAGAGAAACCCTTGGCAGCCACGGTGCTGCCCTGAGCCAGGCGCTGGCTCTCTCCTGTGACTCTTTAGCAGATATTTGTTTATCCTTACTGTAATGCTCTGTCATTGCTATGACTCAACCACTCTTTCTGTTTGTGCTTTTGTGTATTCCACTTCCACTGTCACTATCAATTAACTTACTGTTTTCTAAAGTTCAAAGTCCAGAGAGAGAACAGGTGCAGTTTCAATTGGTCTAGAATAGATGATTTATCACCATCATCCTGGTTCAACAGAACTGTCTTACTGGACACTCCTCTGGGTGGCACCTGACTACGATGATGACCCCCGGTGGGTGAGGCACCTAAGGAGTTTTGAGGACCACCTCAGGGACTACTTTGAGAAGTTTTGCCAACCCATTACATTGCATAATGTTTAAAGCTTTCTTCTTTTTGTCCCTGCAATTCCAGGAATCCAAGGGATGTGAGATAACCTGTGGAAACTGGGGATCCCTCCTGTTTGATATAGGGGACGAACCTGCAATCTGGTATGTGCCGTGACCAGGAATCAAGCCGGTGACCTTTTGGTGCCTGGGTCGATGCTCAACCACTTAGCCACTCAAAAGAAGTCCCCCAATTTTTACAGTATTTGGACTTAGGGTGATACGATAAAGTAGAATTTAAGCCACTAGGGCTCTTTCTACTGTATGATGTTAACAGGTTACAAAATGAATAGTTGTTTTAGAGAAGTAATTATAATTTTCAGGCCCAAGTAAAATTGTGTAGAGGTTTGTGTTTTTTTTTGGTAGTTTAAAACCCCAGAACATAAAAATGAAAGTGAGATTTGGCTGATGATTTTCTCTTAATTCTTCTTAAGAAAACATTTCCATGTCCTTATAACATCCAGAAAGATTGAGGATTTTTACAAAACAATCAAGTCAACATTGCCTGAATTATCTATACCATGTTCTTATTTTATCCTTAAAAACTTAAGATTTGTACAAGAAGATAAAACTGATATTCCCTGTGCTATGTCATTTTAAAATATTCCTGAACATACAGAGGAAGGCCAAAAGAATGTTTGAAATGCACAGCTAAAGAACAACTACAACCATCTTCACAGAGGAGCTCAAAATGAAGTTTTGGTGTTGATGTTTTGCCAAATTTTCTCTGAGAAAATTTGATTATGACTTGCAGCCAAATATGACTCATTGCTGTAAGTGTTATATCTAAAATGATATAATTAGTTTTTTGAGTTTCAGGGGAGAAAAAAGGTGATATTTTAGCTTAACTAATAAGTTAACATATTACAGTTACTCTTCACATGTAGAAGT